GTGGGAGTGCAGACTAGTGCAACCACTATGGAAATCAATATGGAGATACCTCAAAGAGCTTGGACTGGAGGTTCCATTTGACCCAGCCATCCCTCTGTTGGGTATCTTTCCAAGAGAACTAAAAGAATCATATCACAGAGAAGTATGTGCACCCATGTTTATAGCGGCACAGTTTGTAATAGCTAAATCTTGGAAACAACCTATTTGCCCATCCGTTGGAAACTGGATAAAGAAGATGTGGTTTTTCTATAAAATGGAATATTACTCAGCCATAAAGAGCGAGAGAATAGATTCATTCATAGGAAAATGGATACATATTGAAGATATACTCCTAAGTGAAATAAATGTCTCCCACATGTGTAAATACCAAATAGTTTCCCTGGTGTGAATATTCTGCAACAATGCATAAGATTCTAATAAGATTACTGACATTTAGAAATGGGAGGAAAGGAGCTAAAGGTGTAGGGAAGGCGTGATGCTGCGGAAGAATTAAGATTACTGACATTTAGAAATGGGAGGAAAGGAGCTAAAGGTGTAGGGAAGGTGTGATGCATTGCGGAAGAAGAAAAAGGGAAAAGAAAAAAATCTGCGAGAATGAAAAGACGAAAATGAAGTGTTTGTTGATGGGGAGGGGAGGAGGGGGTGAAGGGAGGTCAGAGGTAAGGGGAAAAAATGAAAATCAAGACTTGCCATGTAAAGGTACATGATCCCAACAATGAGTGTAACTGTACTGTATCCCTAAATGTACCAATAAACTCAATAAAATTAAAAAAAAAAAACAGGAGCTGGACAAACTTCTCAGGCATGGTGATAACCACTATTGAAGACATCCTATTATGGATCTTTTGGGATGAAAAGAAACCTTTGGTGTAGATTTAGGTGGATTTTTTTCAAATACAATCATATCTAAAGTTATGGCTATACTTATTTATACTCAACTGATTCTATAGTTTAAATAGAAAATGATGCAATTTAATTCTTATATGCATAACACAATTACTTCACAATAAAAGTGAACTCTAATCTCATTTTAAAGAAAAAAGGAGAGTTCATAAGCATACTGTCTCTACACTCTGATAGTAACTATGATATATAAAAGGTTCTTTCAATATAAGATATCCCAAAAGTAGGTTGAGAATAATTCTTCACTACAAAAGCTACTTTATTAAAAAGTTAGTCATTCTCATTGTAAGTGATTTTTGTATACTTTATCATAGTCAATCCTTTTCTTAATCCCATGTGACCAAAATTATGCACTGCATTTCCTGGAAATCAAAACCAAAGTTGATCTGGGTTCCCAAAGTGCATGACAAAACAGCACAGTAGAGAATATAATCATAATTCTTCATGATACTTGATTCATTGCTAGGCCAACATTACTATTACTTCCTCATAGCTCTTATTTAGGAGTAAAAAGGAAAATAACAACTTTCCCTTAGAGAAAGTTTGTCTGAACATCTCATGATGCTTTAAATCAACTGACACATTCCTATACATTTCATAGGATATGTCTTTCTGCTCTAAGCGGAGCGATTATTGTCTCAATCTCTTGTTACTAGAGACTTTTCACTTTGTTCCATTTGACAACTTCATATACAAATGAAAACCTAGGGTCTGTAGGAAAACACAGGACTTTTTACTTACATCTGTGTAGTAAATTAAAGTAGGTAGATCCTGAAGGTCAATGTGTGCAAACTGAACTCTCCATTAAGTGATACGTGACCCTAGAGAGCAGCTTCAGCTTCCTCAGCTTTACTTTCCACAAATGTTGAGGAGACAAAAGCAGGAGTTTGCTATATTACTTTCTAAATTGGCAGCAATATTTGCAAACTGATTAGTTCAGAAGAATGGTATAATAATATTAGCAGTTTAATAAATTTTCTTAAAAATTAGCAGTTTAGTAACTTTTTTGCTGAATCAGTGGCCTAGTTATTGGTTATACATCCATTACAGCTCATACTGAATAACAGTATAAGCAAGTATTTAATGATGCTATTTAAAAATATTTTGCTCTTGCCATTAAAAGAAATAAAATTATTTTAATAAGATGATATAAAACAGAAATTAGTATTGAAAATTAAGTGGTAGGCTTCCTTTGTATACTATTTTACTCTTAAATTTCAAGTTGTTTCAACGGCAAAAAATACAAAGAAGTCAGAGAAATGGTAAAGGAAGACAGAAAATGAATGCTATCATAATTAATATGTTTTTGTTTTCTGCAAAGTCAATGTAAATTTGGAGACATTGGCTGTACTTCTGGATTTCATTTGATTTAGAAATAAATAGCCAGAAAACAGTGCAAATATGTTAATATTAATGGCCATTTCAATTGGCCTAGTTAAGTTAATTTTAAATAATTTTTACAAGATATATATTGCTGTCATGACCTTCCAATAAAGTGTAGAGAAAGTACAATATTACATAAGGGAGAAAAAAGTAATTTTATGTAATGATTAAATTTTCCAATCATTGACATTTAAGCAAGCAAAATATAAATTAAAAATTGCTCATTAATAATGACCATGATAGCCTTAAAAGATTAAAATGCATATCCCAGAACAACAAATGCATTGTAGAAATCTTTAAATTACATGGGATTAAATAAATCGAAGATTATAATAAGTCAGCTTGTTAATCTTTGGTGGTCCATGGAGGTCAATAAAATCTCATTTTATTGAAGTAAAGAATAATAGTGCAGTCAGTTAATAGCAGATATATATGTTTTCTTTCCTTTGAAGTAATACTTGGGTATTATAGGATTTAATCTTATTTTTGTTAATATGAGTATCTTTTATCTTATTGTCTCATTTCCTATTTTCTCAAAATATTTAAAATTGCAAATTCAAAAGTTAAAAAAAATGAAGATAAATGATATTTAGGTACTAACGTACAGAGATACATTTCCATTCTTAGCAAAAGTAATAACTCATGTAAAATATGTCTGATGGGGAGATTTTGCTCAGAAAGTTAAACACAGGCAAGAAACAGGATAATCATTTAGAAGCTAAAAGCATTAAAAGGAAAAGAAATATCCAAGAAAGTTTAACAAAAACTATTGGATAATTGATAAATATTCATCTGAAATTTAAATTAGAGAGAATAAAATATCTAGAGTAAAAGGTTACAGAAGCTTTGGTATGAGATTTTATTTTATTTTATTTATGTTTTTGGTAACGAGGATTGAACTTGGGACCATGGGTATGAGAAAGATTTTAGTTTGAATAATACTTCAAAATGCTGGCTATGGGCCAGGGATTTAGCTCAGCGGTTAGGTGGCCTGCCTTGCAAGCTCAAAGACCCAGGTTCAATCCCCGGTACCACCCCCCAAAAAATCCTGGCTATATGATTTTTATTTTAACATGCTTGATATTCTGAAGCCTCAATATTCTCTCCTGTTATAATGAGACTTTCTTGTAATAGAAGAAATTCATTGCGAGGAGGAGAGGAAAATATATATAAATCACTTATCACAGGGTGTAGTGAATTGGAACAATTCAATACATTAACATTAGGGTATCTACGAGTTTGAGCCAAGCACTCATAACTTGGAACAAAACAAAGAATTTGGATATCATAGTATTTAATTCCTAACAATTGAAGGATTCAGGATCTTCCTGTTTTGTTACTATGTGATCTCATGATGTATTATTCTTCTCCGTGGTCAGCTCTTTTCCAGGTACATGCTCTTACATCATACCCCTTGAACATCGCGCTAACCTAGTATCAGTTCCATGCACTGTCTCTGCACCCATCCAGATATAGTATAAAAAAGGTAAATCTTGGCATCATATGTCACTTTGAACATTTCCCAGTTATTTATTAGGAACAAAAACCAATGACCTTAAGCTTATAGAGACTGAAAACATTAATTGAACTAGTTCACTCAGTCTTGAAATCTTGCCATCCTTTGCAATGTTTTCTCATTTCTTTACACTTCACATTTTTCAGCTTCAGAAATCATAAGTCATCAGTAATACCACTAACACCTTGTCATATTTCAAGCCTCCAATTTTGGGCATGATTTCCCTCTCACGCTTGCTCAGCAGGAAAATTAATTTCATTATGTAACAATTTCCTCACGCATTTCTTCATCTCCAAAGGTGTTCCAACTGCAAGCCTTTCCTTGTCAGGCCATGCATATTTCCTCTACATACTGTTCGGTTTTGTACACATTTTAATTGGATAATTACACTGTAAAAGCTTCTTTGTGTTTCTGACTTCTCTGCTTGACTGTGAAACCTCGGATTTCTTATCAGTCTTGGTGGTAATCTCACTATCTAACAGAATGTGTAGTAGAAAAATCTATTATGAAATAGTAAACAATAAAATTTAGAAGTATCAGAAATAGCAAAAGCCTATTTGATATTTAAACAAACATTTAGATTCATTTGAGTGATCAACATAGATGTTTTGATATTAATAATCATTGATTATAATTTTCTATCATATAAACACTATACTATATTGAAGATAAAAATTAATATAGGCCATTTTGAGCAATGGTTGTGTTTTGTCATAAATTCACACCTTAGAAAAAAGATAATAAAGCTTTGAGTACTTTGTATTTTTATTATTAGACTTTATTGATCAAAGATTATATATATGTATATACATTCTTAGACATGAACACAAATCATTAATATAATAGCTTTGTCTAAAGTTCAGTTTCCTCTAGATGTCTTCAATCAGCATGACAATTTTCAGACAATTTCTATCTTCCACAGAATATGTAAATAAGGTTTAATCCCATTTTTAAACTGAGATAGTTGTCATCATATTTTATCCAAAAAATTACTTAGTTGGTTTCTGTCAGGCCATAACATTAGAATATAGCTCACTGTATTATTTCACTATGTTTTTTAATCATTTAGTTATCAAATTGTAATAATAGAGAACACAGCGATATAAGAAATTTCAAAATAGACAGATGGAAGTGGAGGACTCATGATTTAAAGATCTATTATTCATATTCAAATAATAAAACAGAAATGACTACATACCCAGCGCTTTACTATAGTAGGAATCCCATGGTTTCCAAAGAGTTTCAAATATGCAGTCCTGTAGGTGGTAGGAGATGAAATTTCTTATTCTGTCAGCAAATGTCATCTAATCAGTGAGCTCTGATAAAATAGCAGGAACATAGGAAAGAGGGTATGGTACTTTCCCACAGTGCTTTTCCACATTTGAGGCTGGAGAAAACCTCAAGGAATAGATGAATGGAATTCCCAGCTTTAAAGCTACTATATCACCGCACGGGAATACTGGATCTGACAGTAGGACTTCAAACTTGCCTTTCTTCAGGTTTTCCATCAACTTTTCATTTTTCAGAGCACCATCACAGATCTCTCTAGACACCATGTGGAAGTCCTTTATGACTTTAGTCATCTCCTGATAGAATCTCCAAATGGTCAAAGGAGATGGCCTGTTTTCCAGCCATGTCAAAATGATCACTTTTTCTATTTTTTCTTTTTCAAAAGACACTTTATATACTTCAAACGTCAGAGATGGGTGAGATGATGGTGTGATGAAAAGTGCACCAGAGGCAACCAGAACAGTCACATTATGCTCTTTTTTAATGAGCTCATCTATGATGATCTTAACATTGAGCCAGTGGCTGCCTTCCATTGGCCAAATCAGGATGTTCCCACTGAGAGTAGTTCCTCAGAGGCTTATCTGAAGAGACAACAGCAGAATGCTGCTTAACAACATACTGATCCATGTCTTGATGCAGAGGATTTGAGGAGATTGGCAACAAATGAGTGACTCTGTCTTGTAAGCAAAAAGACAAAAGAAAATGACAAAAATTAATCTCAGTATTGATCCAAACATTTGATACCCTAATAGGCCTCCTCTCTACTAAATGAAGTTAGGAGTGCTAGATCCATAGCTGATGGCAATTACAGATTTAAGATTAATATCTTTAACTCCTTTGCGTTGTGGTAGCTTGTATTGTGATTCCTATTCTCTAATGTTTCTTTTGAGCCTTTTCTTTTCTTTTTTGATAGGTTGCTTAAGAGTTTTTCATTTTTTTTATTCTTTTGAAGAACCAACACTTTACTTTGTTGATTTTTTTGTATATTTCTCCTAGTCTCCTTTGCATTAATTTCTGCTGTGATTTTTGTAATTTCCTCCCTTTATGATGTTTGGGTTTGTCTTGCTCTTCTTTTTCTACAATTTTGAAGTTCAGAATTAGGTTGCTCATTTCAACTCACTCTGTTTTCCTGAGTATTTACTGCTATGAATTTTTCTTACAGGACAGCTTTCATTGTGTCTCATCAATTCTGATATGTTATATTGGCATTGGCATTTAATTAGAGAAACTATTCTCTGTGCTGCATTGGTTGTTGAGGAACTTGTTGTTTGATTTCCATGTGTTCATGAAGTTCTTGTGGTTTCTTTTGCTATTGATGTCTAATTTCATTGCACTATAATCTGATAATATACAGGGGGATAATTTTAATTTTTCTACATTTACTTGAACATGTTCTGTGAATAAGTATTTGGAGAACAAACCACGTGCAGCTGAAGAAATGTCTATCCAGATTTTGTGGTTTGGAACACTGTGTAAGCAACTGTTAAGTCCATCTGTTCAAGAGTTTGATTGAGTTCTGGCATTTTGTTGTTTATATTTTTGTCTATTTGATACAGCTAATTGTGACAGTGGGGTACCAAAGTACCCTTATTTGAGTTGTCATATCCATTAATATTTGTTTCATATACTTAGGTGTGCCAATATTTGGTGCAAATATATTTATGATTGTCATGTCCTTTTCTTACATCATTTGCTTTACAAGGATGTAATGGATTTCTTGGTGTCTTTTAATCTGTGAAAATAGAATAGCTACTTCTGCTTTTTTATGTTCCATTTGCATGGAGCATTCTGTTCCACCCTATAACTTTCTGTTTGTGAGTTTCTTTTTGAATTAAGCATGTTTCATGTATGCAGCATATTGTTGGATCTTACTTGTTGACTCTTTCTTCCAGTCTATTTCTTTTGATTGGTGAATTCAGACCATTAACTTTGATGGCTATAACTAATATATATCGACTTCTTTTTGTCATGACCTTTTCAAAAAACAGTTGGATTCTCCCCTTTTGCATTTAATATCTTGTCTTTCCCGATGGATACATTCCACTTGACTTATGGGGTTGTGGCCCCCATTGTCTTTTCCTAAGTTATTGTTCCAAGTTTTTTGGAGTGCTGTTTTTTTTTTTTTATTTCTTCAGAAGTTCTTTGTCTTGAAAGTATTTTATTTCTCCATTGATTTTGAAAGCTAATTTTGCAGGGTACATCATTCTGGGTTGGAGATTGTTTTCTTGTAGGGCTTGAAGTACATCTCTCCAAGCTCTTCTTTCTTTCAGGGTTTGTATTGAGAAGTGTGCTGTGATTCTTATGGGCTTTTCTTTGTATATAAATTGTTTCTATTATCTGCCTGTTTGTAGTATTTTGTTCTTCTGTTGTGTTTCTGGAATATTGAGTATTATATGCCCAGGTGTAGGTTATTGATCATGGCTAGTTGGAGTCCTATATGCCCCAGTCATCTGTATGTGAAATTCTTTCTCCTGATTGGGAAGTTATCTGCCACTGCTTCAGTGAACAGTTTTAATCTTATGTTATTTGCATTATCTCCTGTTTCTTCATAGACTCCCATCAGTCTTATGCTATTCTTCTTTGTATCATCTAGCAATTACTATATTAATTTCTCTTGATCCATACCTATTTTTAAGAAACCTTTCTTTTACTGGTCACTACCTGCAATGTTGTCTTCTATATCAGAATATATCTTCCTCACATTGGCACTTTCTGCTGTATAAATTTTCAATTTAGTAATCTCCTGGATATCTATTTTAATTTGTTTTATGGATTCCACTTGTTGCCTTGCTGAGATTTCATTATGTTCCTCAGCTCTTCTATTTTTTTTCTTATTTCTGTCTGCTCTAGGTTTATTCATCATGTCTTTCACCTTGGACACCATCTCTTTGTTAACTGTGAAATTATTTTTAATTTTTTTCCAGATCTTCTTTTGTTGTCAGTTCAGGGAGTCCAGCCAGTACAGTTTCAGATTGTGCCATCACTTTGCCCCTTGGAGTTGCCTTCAGTTTTCTGGAGATCTGCTTTTGAGACTTGTTTAGCTGTCTTCTCACTTTTATTATTGCATTTTGCTGCATGCTTCTGCAGCTGATGCCCACACGAGCATCTGGACAGGGGAATTTTGAGACTTCTAACACACCATATTCTGAAAGTCTTTAACAATAGCTGTGAGACTGAAATTTTTACATGTACATGTATCATTTCATCTATAAAAGATAAATTCTTTATTGCCCATGTGTATTAGCTCAATTCAAAGGCACACAACAATAGGGATTTCATGAAACCAGTAGAAAATTTGACTTACCTAAAATTTCATTGTAAAACTGAACCAATTCTTTTCATTCAATGTCTAAAAGCAAAAGTAAAACTATAGCATGCATAACATATATTTTAACCTCTCCACGAAGGTCTTTTAACCACTTAATCCTGACATAACAATAGAACATTGGAAGGAGGAAATAGAAGCCCTCCATGGTACTTTCCGTATGTGTAGCCAGGAGAGAAGCAGAGTGTACATGAAGGGTATGTTCCTGAGCTCATCCACCAGCTCACCACAGGGGAAGATGGCATCTGCAAAGACATGGAACTTTGATTCTTACAATTTTGTCAGAAATTTCTTGTTCAAACCTGAACCTTTACAAGTGCTTTCATAATCATCAAAAAATTCCTAGAGCATGTTTTGCACTAATGGCCACATATTCTAGTAGTTTTTCTTTGACGTATGATTCATCCAGCTATCAATTAATTACGTGAAAAATATCTTCATTTCTGCTGAACTGGCACTTGCAGGAAAACCTTCAAATTTTATACCAGAGTAACAGAAGATGAAGGCATCAGAACTGTCACCTCATCTCCTCTCTGTAACAGTTCAACCAGTATTACCTTTGTATTCATCCAGTGGCTAAATACCAGCACATTTCCAAAGTTCTCATTTCTAAAGTAACAGCACAGCTATAACAGCAGCAGAAGAGTCTTCATTTTCCTAGACATCCTGCTGGAGGTGAGTGCCTCCCTTCACAGTGTGCTTCCTGCTTTCATTACTTATGACATTTATTTATATCCATGGAAAGGAAAACACACATTTAAACTCTATATTTGTCTGGCTAACATCCTAGTTACTTTTCTTGTTGCTGAAACAAAAGACCCAGGACCCAAAGTTTATTTTGTGCACTGTTTGCAGTGGTTTCAGTCCATAATTGATTGGCTCCGTGGCAGGGCGTCTTCCCAGAGGGCAAACTAGTGCATTGGCCTGTGCAGCAATATTAAGCAAGCAACGGATATTATCAGCATCTTTACCCCTTTATCTTATCTAGGTTATTAGGGGCACATATTGCTCACAACCTCAATCCTAGTGCCCTTTATCTTTGCACTGCATTATGAATCAATTCCAGTATCACATACTATAGATCCAGCCACTCCTGAGAAAGCCCCATCTGGAGTCTCATTAAGCTTTAGAGGACATCTGGACACATGGTATAACAATCAATAAATACACTAAATGACAACTCAGAGCAAAAGACTGAGATAACAAGGGTAAAAAATTAAAGTTCATGGCTCTCATGTCCTGAGAAACACTTTTATCATTTTTTTTTATTATTACAGATTTTTCCCCTGTGAAGTGTATGTAGATAACCCATTAGTGTGAATCCGGGTGTAATATAATTCAAGAAAATCCATATGAGGAGGACTGGAAATTTAGAGGTGATTTGTGTCACCAGAGGATTTCAAATACTTAATATAAATTTAGAGATAAATCATAAACAGAAAAGAATTCCTTGGATACTGGATTCAATGAATTGATTTAATAATTTGGTTTTTGTAAATATATTTGTGAAAGACACCTGGTATATTTACAGTCATGCTGTATATATATATATATATATATTTCAAGTATTTTATTTCTAAAATAAGAAATTCTGTATCCTGAGGATCAGAGCAAGATGGCTGACCAGGAGTGTCCACTCGGCTCTACATAAACAATGACCAAAAGACGAAGAACAGCAGTCATTTTCTGGACAGCATGGAGTGTAATGACAGAGTGTGGTGCTGACGGGACAGACTTTAAAGAACACTGAGATGGTACTGGTCACATAATACTGAAAACTAGGTACACACCATCTACCCCTTCCCATCTCTGAGGATAACTCAGTGGGAAATGAGTAAGGAAGAGGTGTGAGTCAATCCCCATTTTGGCTGTGAGTATCAGATGCTACATTGCTGGAGAAGTCTGCATGTCTCCAAGGTCCTAAGCCCAATTTGGGGTGCTGAAAGTTTAGTGTGCTACTTCACTGCTTTGAAGAATGAACTGAGGACACACCCTGCTCTCCTTGTCCTCAGAAACTGATGAACAGCACCAACTTGAGGCTCCACACAGCAGCAGTCATATGAAACATCTGGGCATGTGGTCAAGCTTGGCCTAGGATGTGAGGCTGTTGACCTGCCCACATGGCCATGCAAAGTTCCTCAGCAGCCTTCCCTAACTAGCTGAGCTGGGAGAGGTATCCAGGAAACATGCGGATATCTCAGATCACTGGAATCAGTTCAGAATCAGCGCAGAGTCAGCCAGACATTTGTACCCATAACTAATAGGTTTCAGATGCAGGCAGACAGCCTCAGCCGATTACCCTGAGCACTGCAAAATAGAGAGGCAGGCCATCTTGAGTTCCTCTGATCCCAGAGTGCCTGTGAAGCCAAGAAATGTCCCCATCCACCTATCTCTGATCCCAGGAAGGAGCCAAGAAAGGTGCTAAGACTATGAGAAGTAGAAAAGAGAGAGGCCTCATTCATACATTATCTCGGTAGCAAAGAGACTTCAGTAAACAGGATGGAACCCCTGAGGGCAATTTTGCAGGTTTTGCTTGTCTGCTGGGCCAACACAGCACCCTGGCTCCTGGCAAACCTAAAACATTGACAGTACCCACAAACACATATACATACATGTACACACATGAGCGATAATACTGCACCATTTCCATCTGCATCTACTGAAGCAGACACACAGCCTCCTCCCCCACATACACAATTGCTCATGTAACCTGCTCAAGAGCAGTAAACCAGTGCAACACACCCTGACCTTCCAGAAGAGCACTGCATCCCGTATAGCAGTTCATTTGAACAATTCCCACTGCGTAGGCCAGAGAATGGAGGCATCCTTAGACATCGCATGTGCTGACCACTCCTACCACCCAAAATACAGACTGGGCATCCAGCTCATGTAGCCCATGCAATTAGAAGTTCTGTTGAAACCAGTGTGTGCAATTACTGGAAGCCACCTACTTGCTCTATCCACAGATAGCAATGTAGGGACAAAAAAGCGAGCAGAACATTAGTTACTATGATAACTAACATGTAAAATGAAAAGTTTTCTAAGCCCAGATTTTAATGTACAGTGATATAAAACCTGAAATAGAAACCAACATAATGCTTGTAAAGGGACTTAATATGCAAAGAAGTAGAATGCTTGGAATAGAGTTTAATAAATGAAAAATATAATTAAATTGTCAAAGACAGCATCAATTTAGTAAGGAACCACGGAGTTTGATGATATGTTGCTAAGTGAGATGGAATAGATCAGAAAAAGGAACAATAATTAAAATGAAAACAAGACTGAAACTTTTGAGATAGCATTAATTGCAGAAGTAATCATTTGTATTATAAGTGTGGAAGAAAATAATGCCAAAGATAGAGGAAATCTTCTTGACAAAATAATTGTTGAAAGCATTAGAAATCATTGGAAATATAAACACAACCACATCGAAGAATCTCAATGGACCATTAATACAGTTAATCAAAAACATCATCTTCCAATATATTCTAATGAAACTGTCAGAAATCTAAGACAAACCAAAATGATGAAACCAGTAAATTTAAAAGTTTTAAGTGGTATATTTAAAAATCTGTATTGGACTAACAACAGACTTCTCAGCAGAAATCATTACAGAAGTGAACAGTGGGTGAAATGTGAGCTAGGAATATTATGGGTAGCAAAGTCATCCCTCAGATATTACAGGTAAATAATATCTTTCCAAAACAAGAAAAAAATGAGGAAAATTAGTATTATCAGGCTGACCCTACAAGAAATGCCTGAGAGAATCCTGCACTAAAACCAAAAAGATTGCAGTCATCATGAAAATATAGGGGAATGCATTGAATAGCAAAGCATCTATGGAGAGAAGAAATAGATGCTGGAGCAGTGCAAAACCCAACACACCATAAATATGATTTATGAGAGAGAAACTGTGAAATATATTCATGGCAACCAGAAAAACGATAACAAAATGTAGGAGTAGAGTATTTGTTTACTTATAAATAATAACTTTCAATGAAAACAGATCAACATTTTTCTCTAAAAAGACAAAAAATATGAATAGTTCAGAATAAAAACGAGACAACTACAGGAAACTGACATTGCGATAATGACAGGTGGACCAAAATCGAAGGCATGGGAAAAAATACAGAAGCAGTACCTATGTTTATGCCAGTATATAGAAGAATTACACTGTGATGCAAAATGTCTACTTTTTTAAAAATTCATTTTTTATTTCTACATTTTAGGTATATGATATGATGACATCCAATCTCCCCAGTGAACATAGATGCAAAAATACTCAATAAAACACTGTCAAACAGAATGCAGGAGATCATCAAGGAGATCATACATCTTGACTGAGTGTTTATATTTTATGTAAAAATTTTCCATATTATATTCTCTCGATGTTGTATTTTCATATTCTTATAGATGCAGATTTTCTCTGGAGAAACAATGTGATTGACTTAATTTTCATTTTATTAAGATATCCCTACCTTTCACCATGTTTCTTATGCTAGTGAATAACTTTACTCCTGTGAAATGACTCTTCATACCCTCTCTCTCTATTTATGTTGAGCTGATTATCTTACTGCTTGTTGATTTGCACTCATGTTCAGTATATAATGGCTGCCAGGCCTCTATGACATTAATTCCCTGGTAGGAAAATATTTGACAAAAATTTGACCAAAGTTTATTTGACAAAAATTAATTTTCACTTGTGCATGTGATTTAATATTGGTGTGTGTTATTGTACTATATTACTTCAAGTTTTTATGTAAAGTATCAAATATCTCCACGAGTTCTTCGGAAATTTCTGCTGCAGTCTATTCCTGTCATTCCCTCAGCATCAATGTTTCAATTTCTTTTCAATGAATTTATGGTTTAAAAGGGAGGGATTCCTCTGCATAAAATCTTCTCACTAGATTGGCAGCAATTTCCCTGTATGCACTATTCATTCTTATCTCCTGACCCTTACTTATTAAACACTAGAATTGCTGCACCTGCAAGGCATCAATATAAAATATTAACCTTTCTTCTTAATCTGAAATCACAATTCCAACCTGATAAACTACTATAATAATGCAAGGCAATAGTCTAGAACATGATAAAAGAGTTCAAAGCATTCTAAGAATCAATATATTTTTCTCCTAATAATCAGAAAACTTTCATTCCTATCTTTCCACTTAATAATGAGTTGCCTGTATCTCTAATTAAGGTACTACTCTGAACCTTCTATGTTAGGTTCATTAAGAGTTCATTATGGCACTCACTATGTTGATTGTTAGTTTCAAACTTTCACCTTTTCTGGTTAATTTTTACCATTTTATCTCAGCTTGTTTGTATTTCTGATACAATAACTTTGAGCTACTCTCATTATAGCTTAGCATTCTGGTTTTTTTTTTCTTTACAAGACAAATTTATTCTTCATCTGTATCAAATGCTATTCAGTACAAAATTGTACAAGGGAATATTAGTTTATTTGTCAAAGAATGAAAAGTAATCATACATTTTTAAAAATGATCAGTTAGATTTATGAGTATATTTTTTTCAATTAAAACCCATGAACTTTGTATTGGGAAAAATATATATTCACCCTAAACAAGGTACCAATTAAATGACCAGCCTAGTGCTGGATTGGGCAATGTGTATACGGAATGGTGATGACTGAAGCATGAACCTA